CGCCGAGTTGGCTGCAACCGCCGCGCTGCGCTGGACCGCGGAGCCCCAGCCCGGGACGCTGCCGGCGCAGCTCGCCAAGCCAGGTGAGAGCGTCTGCGGGGCGGGGGTCGGCCTCCTCCAGCGAGGAAACTTCGAGTGCCCTCGGGGATCCGAGTGGAAGGCCGAGGGGCAAGTGTGCGGGAGGTTGACCCGGTTGGGCCTACCTCCACACCGGACGCCCTGAGTCTTGAGAGTCTGCACCCGATGCAGGTGGAACCCAGGAGCCCGCCAGAGGCCGGCCAAATAGCCTGGCTGTGCGCCCCTGTCTCCTGGTGCCTTCTGTGCTCTGCAAACGATGTAAAACGATGTCTGGGAGGACCGCCTTTCAGGGCACCGTGATGAGGCGGGTTTTCCTGGCTGCAGGTTTTAGGGGGGGGCTCTCATTTGGGGATAGAGGTAAGCAGAAGCGGGGTAACAGTCAGGGCCCAATGCTTTGCTGTTTCTAGGTGAATCTTGGCTTGGCCTGGGACGCGGGAGCAAAAAGAAAGGCGTTATCTTTAACTTAAAGGAGCTCAGACGTTCTTTAGCTGGGCTAAGAGGACTCAAGACTAAGAATTCGGTAAAAAGAGTCGCCTTTTAAGAACTGTGGATAAAAAGGTCTCTTAAGTCTTCAAAGTGAGACCAGTTAACTCTTTTGGCCGAAGTACCTCTTTAGTCCTTTAATTCCGTCTCCCAAGCTGCTGTGGTTTGAGGAAATTAAAAACAAAACTTGGCCCAAAGTGGGGGAAACCTAGCAAGTATTTTTTCAGGCTTGGGCGGGCTCAGCCGGCTGTGGAACAAGGGAGGCTTCTGGGCCACCTTGCTTCCTTCTGGGCTTTCCTCTCGGAAATGCTTGTATTTGGGGTGGGATGGCCTAACTGGAGTTTCTGAGCCCTGAAAGTGGGCAGACCCCAGTTTCTATCTAATTCGGTCACCCTGCTCCTTCCTGAATCTGGCTGCCTCCAGTTTAAGCTTCTTCCTCGCTTTCCTCGGAGGGAACCCTGGGCTTCGCTCCTGACCCCTCTCAGCAACCCGAATTCAGCGGGCACCAGTCTGGTGTTTCCCCCTCACTGGGCAAATGTACAAAGGCAACCAGGCCCATCTCCTCGGAATGGGGTGTACTGGAATTAGGGGTGAAAGGCCCACAGTTTTCCTGTGGGTAGAGCCGCAGCCTCCACTTCCTCAGCCCCTCGGAGACAGCTGGCTCTTCTTCAGAAAGGTTTTTTGGAGAGCCGCAGAGTGCTGAGCTGAACTGCTGAAGACAGACCCTCCCGGGTGTGTGGTGAGGTTGCTGGGTGGCTGGGAGATCAGTCCCGCCTTCCGGCTGGCTCAATTATGCTCTTTAGGCCTAAAGTTCAGAAAGCAGTTTGCCGACCGGGTTTTGTGGATATTTAACAACAAGGGACATACAAGCATTTCTCTGGAGCGCCGCTCCCTCGTCTGCTCATATTTGTGGATTTGCTAAGGAAAAACTGTCGAGAAGAGGGTTTTCTGGTTCTGTCCTGTCCTTCAGGTGAGAGCAATAGGAGAGTTTGGTCTCCGTTCAAGAAGTGATTCCCTGCTACCGTCTTCCAGTTTTCCATTCCAGTTTCCCTGGCTCTTGGACCAGAGTCCTCAGGAGTAGAGCAGAAGTCTGAGTTGAAATTCAGGTCGGCATTATGCAGTGCCCATCTGCCGACCAACACCTCGGGCAGTGCGGCAACCTTGAGTTCGGTGGCCTTTGTTCAGGAGGGGATTCCTGTAGCGTCCTGGGACCCTCCTCCTCCGACCGTTCTCCTCTGAAATGCATGAAGAGTCACAGAACCTAAAACAAGCTGAGAAGGACTTGGGTGAGGAACCCCGCTGAAGCAACCGCAGGGCCTAAACTTTGGGAGAATAAAAAAGGGCAAAGAATTTAACGGCACAAATCAGACTTGGTGCTTGCTTTCCTTCCCTCTGCTTCTACCAAATACTCAGGGGGAGCCCGAGCCTTCCGAATTGAGAGCAAGTACTTGGGGTGGGGGGAGGTAGAAGGCTGGCAGCTTCCAGAGACTAAGCTGTGAGGGACCCAGGGCTCAGTTTCCTGCTGGTCACACCACATACCTTGAACGTTCACTAACTTTGTTTGCTTTTATCAATCGCATTCCTTTAAAGAAAAAAATCATCAGTAGGCTTGGGGGAGGTTTATAAAACAAAACTGACTATAATTTTTCACTAGGAACACAAATAAATAAGTGGATTGGTTCTGTGCAACACATCAAAAAAAAGCCACTCTGTTGGGAGTCAACATTAAAATTAATTAAAGTAACATTAAAACTGGCAGTCAAATTAAAACTCCTGGTTGAGACTGCCTGTCACTGTGTTCCTGAACTTTTTTTTTTCAATGTTCCTGTATGTGACATGCTGTGTGCATCTTTAGAAGCACGCTGGATCTTCCTGGATAAGTTACTCCATTTCGGAGAGTAAGAGGCTCTGTTGGGATGGGAGGGCGGGAAGTCTCTGCTCAGCAGCCGGCTCAGTCAGCTAGCAAACCGTTCACATCTGCTCCTTTGTGAACTTGGATCTTGAGAACCTGCTTGAACTTTTTGAAGGGCAGAGGGCCTCCAATAGATAGCTGTGAAATGGTTTGTTCTTGAAGACCAGCCCAGGTGCACCAGCACTGGGAGTCCGTTCCTTCTCTGAGTCTGTGAGAGGAGAACAGGCCTTGAGAAGGATGTTCGTTAGGCATCCTGGGAGAAACGCCACACGGTTCAGGGAGAGACCTGTGGACACCAAAACTCGGCTTCCTGACTGGAAGAAATCTTTCCTTATCCGCCCCTTCGGTTGCCTGAGCTTGAGCACCGCTTTCAATGCGAATTTAAGAAGTTCCTTCTGACTCTTCTGGCTACGGATTGAAAGGCCTCTTCAAATGGCACTCTTTTTCTGCCTGTCAATCAATCTCTGCTACCAGCTCTGCCTGTAATTAATTAGATTTTGATGGCGCCCCACTTTCTAACTTAACCTTTTCTGTAGACACTGGAACTCACCTGCACTACCCCCTTTCTGTCCCCTTTGTCCCCTCCCCCCATGAAAACGTCACGGGAAGCTTAACCTCTGGCAGCCGCCTGGACTTCTGATTCAGCAGTCTCATCCAGCCAAGCCAGCCCTTCAGGACCCTAGGCTCTGGGCTCTGGGCTCTGAGATGAGGGAATTTAAGGGTCATGGCCAAGGTGAGGCGCTGCAGTCACGGTCCCTTGTAGCTGGCTGCCTCACCCCAGACTTCTCCTCTGGAGGAGGATCCTGGGTGGCCATAGGCTGTGGTGCCTGGGAAGGAAAGAACTGTGGCTGTGGTGTGTATCTGCCGTGTGTGTGTGTGTGTGTGTGTGTGTGTGTGTGTGTGTGTGTGTGTGTGTGATATGTTGGTTTTATATACCTATATCATATATGTTATATACACACATATATGTTATATATACATATATTCGGTTTTTTTAAATGCTCTTTGAAGGAGAAAGAAATAAAAAGAGAAGCATTTGGTTAGTGGCTGAAGAGATGGGTTAGATAGGGAAGTGAGGTGTCCTTTATTATGAAAAAAAAACAAAACATGGCGGCTAGAGAGAGAGGCTGATTTTGGAAAACTGACTTTATTTTGCCTCCCACTGAAGCACCTTTATAATTTGGGTGGCCCAGTCTGCTTCCTTCTTAGCTTTATTTATTTATTTTTTTGTTTTAATTCCCCCAGAGAAATACTTGTGTTAAGGGAGTACTCATGAAAGCCAGATAAGGAAATCCTGTCTGACTGTACACCCAGTGCCAGGGAGAAGATGGGGACAATTAAGAGTCACCTGGGATGTACACCTATGAATTGCAAAGCTTCTCTGGCTCTAAGAGGCGTGATTTGAAGCAGGGGGCCTTAGGAAAAGCCAGATAGAGACAAATAGGGGACAGCCTGACTGTCACCTTAGTCTTTCCTTCTGAGCTGGCTTTGGGGTAAAGCATCCAGTCCTGGCCTTGCTAGATTTGCTGGAGAGGCCAGTCACAGTGAGGTGGGGGTAATGACTGACCAAGGACCCGGGCTGGCCCAGGGATCTCAGGAGAGGCTTCTGGTGGCAGCATGGACATGTGACTTCTCTGTGCCGGCCCTGAAGGTAGCCTGCTTCCTCCCACCACAGCCCCTGCCT